GCTTTGTCACTAAATTCGTCTGAATGAAGTCTGAATAACAAATAAAAATATAAACAACCCATGATTAGAAACATTTATGAATATTTTCCAAATTTAATAACTTCACATAGTGCTGCTCTAAACTTAATAACTTTTCCACTTTAGCATTACCGTTTAGCATATTAAAATCTAAATCGAAATTTCATTGGAATTATATTTAAAAATATTTTTTGAAAAATGTATATTTTATCATAATCCTTTTAAATACTAAAAGATATCTTTAATTCAAATACCATCAAGCAAAATTTTTTCATAGTAATGCAGTTTCTCTTTACCATGTTCGGTAAACATCAAAGAATCAAAAGTTAATTTGAAGGTCCCCACGAGTCGCATACAAGGTGTACAGGGTATACACAGGGACCAGTAAGTAAATGTCAATCAAGTTCCAGCATCCAGTAATGAACCTTCATGCAATTGATTGACAGGGCTACCCAGATCAGGTATTTTTGAAGGCAGTGCTAAAATCTCTGCCTTTAAGGGCATTGAGCGATAGCCCCTAAATATTTCGATTCTGAATATATCCACAACAAAAAGAAACCTCTGAATAAGTGTTGAACAACAGATCTTCAAAACCACAAAACTTTTCATGTGATATCAAAAATGGGGCTGAGTTCTCATTTACGGGCTCAGAGGTTCAAAAGTCTTTCATCTTTAGCTCTATTATGATCAATAATTTGTCATACATTACTGAAACAATACTATTCATATTAGCGATTTGCAACTACATATTATCAAATTTTGTTCATAAATATGTTACGTAATATGGTGTCACAAGGGGGCAGAATGCTAAATCTTTGACGGCTAATAATTTGATGAGTGTGAATATTTTGATTAACAATATTGAACAAAAGATAATCAGAATAACCAAGTATGCACTGTTTGGATTTCTTTCATCTTTAACTCCTTATTGATCAATATTTTGTAAAACATTACAGAAGCATAACGGAACGAAATCTCTGAAAAGATGTTGAACAAAAAGTCTTCAAAATCACAAGACCTTTCATTCGATATGAAGAAAACGGGTAGACTCGTCAAAGTAGGGGCTCATTTGGGAGGGGCCAAAAGTCTTATCTTTAACTTCTTCATTGAGTTTTATGAAGAGACTTACTTTTACATTCATCGACTTTTATATTTTAAACAGAGACAAACACCTGTTACTAAAATGTAAAAGTCAGCTGTCGAATGTAAAAGTAAGTCTCTTCATAAAACTCCAATGATCAATATTTTGTGATACATTACAGAAGCAAAGGTATTCATCTTAACGATTTGATCATATGTTACGCTCACACGGGGGCCAGATTGTTTAATCTTTAATGCTGAATATTGAACAAAAATTCTTCAAATTTACGAGAACTTTCATTTGAAATCAAGAAAAAGGGGTTGATCCCTCAAATTAGGAACTCAGATGGGGCAAAAGACTTTCATCTTTAACTCTTTAATGATCAATATTTTGGAATACATTAATAGAGAAAAGCTATTAATCTTACCGATTTAGAACAGTATATTGTAAAATTTAGATCATATGTTAAGTAATTAGTGATCAAAAGGGACCATAATACAAATTTTGACGTTTTATATCTCAAAAAGGGGGAATATTTTGATAAGCAATATTGATCAAAAGATGGTCAGAAAAAATTTTCTTTATACATTTTGCATTAGGTATTGAATAAAAAGTCTTAAAATCACAAGCTCTTTCATTTGATATCAAGAAAGAGGGGTCTTCAAATCAGAGGCCCAGAGGGACCAAAAATGATTCATCTTTAACTGTTTAATGATCATAATTTTGTAATACATTTACAGAAGCAACAACAAATTATAAAAATTTGATCATATGTTATGCAATTAGGGGCTGCAAAGCATCAGAATGCTTAATTTTTGACTCATTATATCTTGAAAAAGGGATGATATTTTAATAAACAATATTGAAAAAAAATGCTCAGAATATTGTTTTGAAAACGATGATACTTTTCAAGAAATCTTTCATCTATAAATCTATAATGAACAATATTTTGTAATACATAATTGAAGCAAAGATAATCTTTACGATTAGCAAAAAGATATAAAATTTTGATAATATGTAACGTAATTAGGGGTCACAAAGGGCCAAAAAGCTAAACTATTGATGCGTTATATCTTGGAAAATGTGAGTATTTTGATAAACAGTATTGAACAACAGATATCAGAAAATGTGTATAGTTTTTGTATAATGGCACCATTAAGGTACATTTTTGATACTCTGATAAAAGAGATAACTCTTAATGATACAAATGTCTATTATTCAAAAAATCTTCGAAATCTATATAAATTTGTCAAGTTGAAGTGCCCTTCTTGCCAAATTTTGCACGCCATGCTGTAATTGTTTGTATTTTATTCAGCTTATACATTTGCTTTGAAAAATCATAAAAGTTAAAGTATAATTTCATATGCGTAAGCAGAGGATTTATCACCTTTAAGGACTTATAGGGATGACCCCAAAATATTTCCATTCCGCATATCTCCACAACGAAACGAAGTCACTGAAAAGGTATGAACAAAAACTCTTTAAAATCTTCAAGAGGTTTTAATCTTTATCTGTTGTAACACATTACGGAAAAAAAGATATTCATCTTAACGATTTGATACAACATATTATGAAATTTAGATCACATATTACATAATGAGGGGTCACAGGGGCCAGAATGCAAAGGATTAGCTCGTTCTGGATTTTGGGTTAGACACGACTTAAAATATTTAAAGATTTTCAATGAAAGAAAAGGATGATGTTGAGTTGAAGGCAGGTGAACCAAATCTTTCTAGCTCAAAAGGCGTCGAATTACGATAGAGCCCGAAAAAATGTCTTGGACAAATCTCACAAAATTTGACACGTTTTATTTCATATCTTCGTCCCTGTTGATTATTTGTCAAAACACAAAGAAAAGTTGTGCTGAATGACAAGAGATTTCAAGTGAATCAAAAAAAAAGGTTGATACTTCAAATCATTCTCAAATTACCAATTTTCGAAATTTTTGATATCGTCATTTTGTTTCGATATTAAATACCCTGCGTTTTTTATCTTTTCTTTAAGGCCTATTTTGTACATTACTGAAGCAAAAATTTGTTCATTAACGATTTGCAATAGTATATTATAGATTTCTTTTTGCAAATACGAGGGGCGTTCAATAAATAATGTCATTAGCTCGATTACATACAACATAGCAGTCATATGACATAAAGCTTGACTTTCTGTCATTATTGAATCTTTAATGAATTTATAACAGTTTATGTGACCACTTTTCATCATATAGTTTTATCGTGAGATTGAACGAACTTTTTAGAGCTGGGAAACAAGGGCTACTCGAGACACTGCATTATAAATGAATAGTAAAAAATAGTAAACTAGAGTTGAAATAAAAGCAACATTAAAGCTGCTGTAAAACTTTTTAAAAATCCCAAAGAAATACTCATTGAAATATGTGTCATTTACAGCAACCAATGCCTGTTTTATAGACAAATTAGCAGGTGGATTTCAAACTTAAAAATTAATTTAACGGGCATAAAAAGTAAGGACCCTCCTTGCCAAAAAAAATTAAAAGAACTTTGTACTGTTTGCCTCCACAACAAAAATATTTGATGTGTTGATTGATTTTTAGGCACATAGCAAATTTGATTTTACATCACATCAGGGGTAGTTTACACTGTTTTTAAGAAACGTTTGAAAGTTTATTAAATCTTGGTACTCTTTAAGGTCATTCTGTATTTTGAAAAAATAGTGAAAACGACAGCGTGAACAAAAGTCTTGACAATTATTTTAAAATATCACTAATTGTAAAAATCCACGTTTGTTTTATATTCAAACAGATATTGTAACATGTAAAAATCTATTGCTTAAAACCATTAAAATACAATTAACCATAAGATGTATTTGATAAAAACGGCTAAATGTCTTTAAAATCACAAGATTTGCAAAGGTATGCAAGAGCACAAAAACAGATTTATATGCAATTTTCTTAAATATTAGTGGTATTATTCTTCAAATATTTGGGGAAAAGTTTAATATCTGGAGGTGTCTATAAAAGCAGTTTTTTTGCACATAAATCGAAAGGTTGATCAGAGAAAGGACCCAGAAAGGAATCCACTACATTGAATTTCTTCATGACAGCATTTAAACCCGCATGCCCTAAAGAGTAAAGGGGATTACCGGATAAACAGAAAGTTAATGTTTTTCATATTAACAATATTTGCCAGATCTTTGACCTTTTGACAACATATTTCCAAACTTGAATAAAACACCTTTCAGAAGGAAAAAACAAGTCCAGGAAATCATTGTATCTGCCATTTTCGAAAAGGGAAAATAATTAAAAACATACCCAAAAATGCGAAAGTTCTAAAAACAATCAGAAAATGGATAAAAAATGTTATGGACATGTGTTTGACATTGAAATAGATTAATAAGTAAAATCAAAATGAAGACTAATTCATTGAAAAGCGTTGTTTGGAAAAGGCTTCATTTCTAAGCCCCAATGACATTATTTATTGAACGCCTTTTCGTATGTATTTAAATCCATAATTTATTCTAACTATTTAGAAAGAAACTTCTGAATAATTGTTAATTCCGTTTATATCTCCCATTTGAGATGAAAAAGGGATAATTAACACTTCTCAAATGATATCTTAATGAGGATAACTCTTTATATATGTACTATTTTTTTGAAGTTGATTTGTCTCGGTACAATCTCCTTCCTCGTGACTTATATTTTTGAGAAAAGAAATTATAGTAATCGCTCTGATGGAATAACAAGTTCATCAAATACAACTACCATCCCTACTTATTTTAAACCAAATTACAAGAGAGAGTCTGGACACATACACTAGTTAGTAAGAGGAGCCAATTCTTTGTCTTTATATATCAATTTTAATTGTTACATTAATGCAACTTTCACTTTTTGTAAAGATGTTCATGATTGTTACCAGATAATGCATCATTACCATTTTTCATAACTGTAATATGTTGGTATCTTTTTCACTGTTGCCTGTAAAGATCTTGACAAGTATACATGGTCAAGGATAGTTCCCCCTTCTGTCGTATTAAAATCAACCATTTGCTTAAAACCTCGGTTAAGCATAAAGGTCTGAATAACCCCTGTACATCTGGCATCTTCATTGAAGTCTCCAAGACAAACAAGAAATTTACACTGTGACATGAAATGTGCAACCACTTTTTCAAACTGCATTAAGAAATGAGTAACATCCAAAGAATTTGGCCGATAGACAGTTAAAACTACCATATCTTTTGACAGATTTTTCAAGCAAATGGCCTCCACGTTCTTCTCAGGAAGAGAACACATGACATTTTCTTGTCCAGCATCTTTAATGTAGACAGCCACACCTCCACCCTTTGATGCACGCAACTGTAAAACGTTATCATTTCTGTCATCATACGCATCTCCTCTGGTTAATTGGTGAAAACTAAATCCCTCTATTGTAAATGCACTAACATTTTGTTCAGATCTCAACCAAGTCTCTGTTAGGCAGATTATATCTGCATTCCTGAATCGGATATCTCTTTGCAAATCCCCAAAATGTTTGTTGAGACTTTGAATATTGTGAAGCAAAAGTGTTACCCCTTGTTCTAACTTATCAAAGTTAGGCAGATCTAATTTTTGCATCCCTTGCAAAGCTGCTTTGACTTCTGGATCAGCGTATATCTTCTTCTGTAGCGATTCCACATTGTTTGTTTCAATATATAATCCTTCTTTTGACGTCACTCTACTTAAAGCAACATATCCTTGTCCAGGAGAGAATGTCTTATCCAAGTTGACTACAACCTTGTCCACTGTCATTCCTTGTACTTTGTGAGAAGTACATGCCCACGACAAACGTAATGGAAACTGATGTCGAACTACATTTTGTCTTTTCTGTTCTAGTATCTCTTCTTGAACTCTTTCGATTAGAACAATATTTCCATTTTTCGATTTTTTCCCAGACTTCTTCCCAACGTTGACATTGTCAAATATTACTCCAACTGCTATGACGATGTTTGTAGCATGCTTCTGACTATACACAAAATGAGAGATGTGCCCCATTACTCCATTTACTAGGCCGTCATCCACATTACAGTTTCTTGTGAGCATAACTCTTGCATTAACACCCATTAACAAACTGCTAGAAAGATTGTCTGTTTTGGAACTTGTTTTTGGTTTACTCCTTAAGATTAACTTGCCTGTTGTTCTATCTTTCGAAAAGTCTTGAGCATCAATCTCAACAAGGTCTGGACAAGTCCTTCTGAGCATTGTCAAGTTATATGCATTGACTTCCTCATTTGTTGCATAGACGTGGAGGACATTTTCTGGCCCCTCTCTTAAACAATCATTTAAGATAGAACTTATTTCCTCTTCCAGTGGTTGTTTAATTGGTCTAGTCCGAATTGAATTCAGCGCTGTCGCAAACGGAATGTCTTCACGTTGTCTCATAATCTCAGTCAAGTCAACTACTTTGAAAAAGTCTACCCAATAATCAACAGGATAAAGAGCATTGTCTTTATACAGTCTTTCATCTTTACGCTGTTTTACAGGAGGGAGCTGGTAGAAATCTCCAACCGCAATCACTGACACTCCTCCAAATGGCTCCTTGCATTTCTTAATCTGTACAAATCTCATGAACATAGTATAATAATCTTTTATACACCATCGAAATTTCATCAATAATCAAAATTTGCAGATCTCCCAGTTGAACTCTCATTTCGCTTAAAGTCTGTTCTTTCAATGGTTCATAAGGCAGAGACATATATTTGGGCAATGAACATAAATGATGGATCGTATTTCCTCCAATGTTGAATGCAGCTGTTCCAGTAAAAGCGGCCAGTAGTACTGAAACACCGTCAGGAGAAGTCATTTGTTTCCCTAGTATTCGAGATGCTTCGATATGTATGGCCTTGATAAGATGACTCTTGCCTGTTCCTGCTCCACCTGTTATAAAAATATGCAATGCATCAGTTTTTTCTCCAAACTTTTTCTGCAAACACCATTCCTGTACCAAATAAAATACCTTCATTTGTGTTTCATTTAAACTTTGAAGAATCTGCGTAGTTTCCTCCCTTGAGTGTGTATTCTGTTGTACTTTGTAAAGGACATCTGAACAGCTTTCTGTTTGCATGTCTGGCAGCTCTTCTGGTTCATTCAAATCTAGAATTTCATTTCTATTGACTGAGCATTCTTGTCTCATTGCCTCTGTTTCTGGACAAAGGTTTGCCCAAGCATCTTCTGGTTCCCCAATATTTTCATAAGTTTCCAATGCCTCTGCAATGATATCTTCGCTTTGAGCATAACGTGATCTGTTTCTGTCAACAATTGATTTCACTGACTGCACTCTCTGCTTTCCTGTTATTCGAACATATCCATTTCCATAAAATGCTTCATAAAGCTCAAACCCAGGAGGTTTCAACTGGCTCTGTGTTAAGTAAGGTAAGAAGAGCTGTAGCAGACATTGGTAATACTTTTCTGGCATCTTCTCTTGATTGAATCTCGGGTATCTTATTACAGCTGGTTTTGTACGAGTTCTTCTTTGGACAAAACCCTTCGAGTTCTTGAGTTCAAACACATTTTCGTTTTGAGTCTTTGGAACCTGTGATTTAGCAAGTATTCTGAAATCAGAACAAAATTCTGCCAAACACATATTCTGAAACAAAGGATCATTTGGTCGATTTTCATATCTTTCTACCACATTTGTCATCCAAATGTCATCCTCCTCATCGTCATCCTCAGCATTTTCATCGTTTCCCTTTCTGTGATTTCTTTTTAGTTGAGACAATGGCTTAGTTAGTCGAGTAGGATTATCACCCACTGGTACAAACACTACCTTTCTTGAACATTCCTTCATTTTGAGGTTACACACACGATAAACAGCTTCTTGTGTACTCACTTCTCTATGATTCAAATAGGCAGAACCAATTTTCTTTAAGGTTGTTCGTGCACTCTCGTTGCCTTCTTCTGCTTCTATTTTTGTTTGTTTCAACAGCATTCCCATTTCTCTCTCCGACTTTGAGATGTACGAAATGATGTAGACAATGCAGCTAAATGGATCCAAAACAAACTGAATGTCCATATTGGCATCCCAGCATTTTAAGAGGCATGGATTATACTGATTTATCCAGAGTTCATTTGGATTTCTTTCAAGAATCACAGTTCTCTTTTTTGCTAATCTTTTATGAGTTTCCTCATACTGCGCTTGGGTCAATCCTAGATGACTGAAAATATTTTCGGTCGTCTTCGAATTATTCGCTTCATCTTGCACTTCATTCCAAACTTGTAATAGAATTTCCTTAGCAATTGATTGTTGTTTTTGCAAATCCGTAGTCTCAGTATCGTCGTCTTCCTCAAAAGGAGAATTGATGAATGTGCATACAGAAGGTGGTCTTGGGAAATTAAACCTACATTCTGTGCCCTTCTTTTTGCATGACTTAGAATGTTTTTTGCTATGCTGTTGTACTGCTGAGACAATGTTCATCAGCTCCAAATCTTCTTCCTCAGAGGGCACTGCACAACTTACGTATTTATTTATGAAATTACACACGGCTTCCTCTCCGTCTTCATCAAGTTTTGGTGCATTTTCTATCCAATATAAGCAATGCATGTGAGGTGACCCCCTCTGTTGAAATTCGACTCTTTGGAAAAAATCGGATACTTTTCCAATTGGTTGTGCAGGTGAAAATATCACTTCTGTTTGAAAAACATGAAATCTATGCTCAAACATTCTGGCAACAGTGACAGGATTACTTCTCAGCACCTCATTCTTTTCAGACCAGTCTAACATATAAGCATCTCTGTTATCATTTTGTTGTTTCAATATTGTTGCGACTGCATCATTCCATCTATGTTCAGCTGCAGAGAAGGAACAAAACCAAGTAGGTATCCCTAGTTGTCGAAGCATAGCAAACAAATCCTTCTGTGCAGCTGACCAGTATGCTGGCGTTCCACGAATAGGCTGCATGAATCGCAAAGCTTCGTCACTTTTCATCAACTTGGAAAGTACTACAGGGTCCTGTACCATGTTTGCTGTCACTTCTTGGTCATTTTCTATTCTTCTGACAGATTTCCTAATAGATATCTGTGTCTTCTCTATAACCTGGTTTAAATCGGACATATACTGACTGAAGAAAATGTAATTACTGTCTTTCGCAAATCTCGCGTCTGTATTCATAAGACGATTGTTGAAGTATCTTGACAGTGTTATTCGTGTTTCTCTGATGTCATTCCATGAAAAACTCCCACTTGGGAAAAGGTATGGAAATGTTTTTGCCTCATTTCCTTCTTCTTGTAACATCCTTACTGGATTATTGCCTTCTCCTGGAGCAATGTCATAAATATCATCGAAATAATGATCAAGAACCTCCTGACCAATATCAACAGGTTGTAGACAAGTATCTGACACCATGCGCTGCTGTTCATCATCCTCTGATTGTAAATCGCCAACATCCGATATTTCTTCATCTTCAATTTGTCCTTTCCAGTTTGTATCAACAGCTACATCTTCATACCACTGATTGTTAAGTTTTAAAAACTTCAATGCCTCACATATGTGTTTCGGATCAACAAACTGGTATTCGCTGTAGCCTTTATAATTCAACTTTCTCTTTAATTTAACTTTAAGTAGAAGATCTTCTCCGGGTTTCATCGGTAAACTTGTAACTTTCTTCAGATCCGATGGTACACATACAACTGGCCCGTGGATATTTTTCTGACCACCATGGGGTAGACTCATGACTTTCATGAAAGGTATGTGTATTGCAATTAAGTGTTTCTCAAGACTGTTCAATTCTGTCAATTCCTTTGGAATATCTTCCAAGGCCATTTTGTTAGCTGCAGCTTCTGCTGGAAGATTACCACTCAAGATTTTCCTGTGACAAGTATAACAAATCCATAACGTTGACTTAATGCAATCTTTAGGACATGACTCTATGCATTTGTGACAGTACTTATCTTGAATACACAAGTCTGCAACATGTGCTGTCTGCTCAGTCTTAGCATATGCTTTTCGTTCACATCTTTGAACTTGATTTTGAAACAGGAGCCGATCACAACAACAGCACGAATATTCGATGCCTTGCACAGCCTTTTCTTTAAATACTTTCACGACCTCTTCCTGGTTTTGCAATCTTGCTCTTTGAGCACTTCTTTGACTTTTTACCATCTCTTTCTTTTTCGTTCTTGTTTTTACATTTGAAACATATTGATGTCTACTCAAACTTTTTATTTCTGACCTAAAAGATTCATCACTTCTGTACTTGTTAGCTGCAGTTTTGAGCTTTGCTTCTCGGAAACTTTCATTTTCCCTGTATCTCTTTTTACTCGCAGTATTGACTAGAATTCTGTGCGATTCATCTGTCTTGTACTTAAGTTTACTTTTAGCTTTTACCTCTTCTCTATGTTCCTCATCCATTTCATACTTTTGCACACTTCTCCTTTTGACATCTTCCCTATGCTCTTTGTCTATAGCATATTTATCAGTGCTTCTCTTTTTGACATTTTCTCTATGTTCATCATGTGTTGCATACTTGTCAACACTTCTCTTTTTGACATTTTCTCTATGTTCATCATGTGTTGCATACTTTTCAACACTTCTCTTTTTGACATTTTCTCTATGTTCATCATGTGTTGCATACTTGTTAATGCTTCTCTTCTTGATATTCTCCCTATGCTTTTCATTTATTGCATATTTGTCAATACTTTTATTCTTGACATTTTCCCTGTGATCATCATTTGTTGCATAATTTATAAACGATGTTTTTAGCTTCTTATCTCTAAATTTCTCATCTTCCCTATACCTTTGTCTCAAAGACTCATTCCGTTTCTTGACTGCACTAAAATTTTCTCGTTTCCTTGTTCTAGATTGTCTTTTAACCTGCATTCGTGTTCGATTTTGGTATCGCTTTTCATACTCTTGAGAAATTTTAAACAATTGCCTTGATGCTAAGTCAATTTCCTCTCCATTAACAGACAGTACAACATTGTAATGGTTCTGCTCTTGGTGAATCAAATAAATTGCTTCAGTTTTGCTCTGCACACAAGGTTCTACTTCAGCAACTGAAAACCTTAACCAACTTTCTCTGGAGAAGGTGTATACATCAATGTTTAGAAGATGAGCTGTTGCATATATTTCAACCTCAGTAGCCCAAGAACCGTCCTGAGACATTCGTGTGAAAGACAAGTGACTTTCGACAGACTGTACACCATCTCTTAGGAATGGTTGAAATATCTCTTTGTTTTCTATTATATGCTCACAAACAGCATTGCGTATAACATAATGGAAATCTTCCGAATTTGCAAGGCTGAATGAAACAGCTCTGAAGAAGCAGTTCCCATCTCCTGTTATTTTCTTTTCGGATAAGGGTTCTGAAATATTAGTTCTATAAAACTTGATATCACCATAATTTTCAATGCTAACGAATGGAATGTTCAAATTTTCACAAAGGTGTTTTTTCAAGTTTGTACTCAAGGGAATGAAGCTGAACTGGAACTGCTCATGACCAATGAAAAACAAGTCATCATCTGCATCACCTGTTTCATGTGTAATATCCCCAGATAACTTTGACCCTTCAGACTTTCCATCAATATTTTCTTCTACCTCAGACATATCACTGACATTCGCAATATCACCCATCTTGCAGGAGACGCTAGTCAAGTTACATTCAACATTTCTTGTATATCCCATTGAAAAAGCAAGACCTTGAAGATGAGAATACACTTCATTTACATGCTGAAATAAAACTCTTGTGCTCCTACCTGTCACACTTAACATTCCATCTGAACATCTAGAATGAGAATCAAAAGCAAAGAAACCACTTTCTGTTACTCCTATAAACATTGTATTTCCACCAAAGCATACAAAACAGCCATCAGTGTCTGAAAGGGCAACCTGAAGTGCTTCATCTAGTGGAAGTGCATTAAACTCTGCATAGTTGATATCATCATTTGCCATAATAACACTTGCATAAGTCTGATTGGCATGAAACTGATATGATCGGTTAAAGCATTTAAAGAATTGAGGCAATTCCTCTACAAGTAAATACCTATCATTGGTTGTTCAGCTTCTTTGCAAATATGTGTACAGTTCATCCCCTGTCATTAAAACTCTGTCCATATCCATTGCTGTCCAACTCTTTGCATTTTTAAGTTTGTGATAAGCTAACCCTGCTAAACAATTTGCTACACACTGAGTCCCTGCATTCTCTTCAAACATAGGATGAGCTTGATGAAAAGAGCCCTGAACTGAAAAGGGTATGTCATAGTTACCTTCCATTGGTAAATTCTGCCAATACTGATCTTCATTTCTTTTATTCTTTTTCTCTTCACAACCATTCTCTGAAATAGCATGTTTCTCATTGTTCTCTTTTCCATTTGTTTTCATTTCAGATTCTATATTGTATTCGTTCAGATTTCCTTTTGATAATCGTTCAGTTTCCGTTTTAGTATCCTTCAAAAATCCCTCATCTTTTGATATCCTGCTGGTCTCCTCCTCCCTGGAGGTATCCAGCTGCGCCTGACCTGCTGGACCAGACATATGCCCTATGTCCGATCCAGGTGCTCTCGGTGGAGCACAAACCCACGGTGGGGAGTCAGGGGACGGTGCCTTGCCCTCGTTACGGACAAACAGACGACTTCCCCGAGGAGATGGGAACCTCGGGGCAGGTGAATGCATTTTCACTCGAGGTGAGGCCTGCACCCTGGCCAGGGGTTTTTCCTCTTTAGGTGGTAACCCCATGGAACCAAGCCCCGGAAAATTACCGGGAGGAGCTGACATAGCTCCATCCTCTGTCCCGCATGGAACAGAAGACTCTGCAACTTCCTCGTCTGGGGACGCATCTCGAGTTACAGGTTTCTCTCTCGCCTGCCTCTTTTTAAGTCTTTCTCTCTCACGTCCCACTCTACCAGTAAGAGATTTCTTTCTCTTTGGCATCTAAAAATAGAATCTTTAACACTCTCCAGGTGAAGTATGAGGCAGTTTAGGCCAAGGAGAGAGAAAGATATGCTCCCGACAAGGATTTTTCATATAATTCTGCTATGACCTTGACCTTTAACCTAAAACCTGGTTCAAGGTCACTGCACATGGGTTACCCAAATGCACTCTGAGGGTAAAGTATGAGCCAGATTGGGCCAAAGAGAGAGAAGATATGCTCCGGACAAGGATTTTTCATACAATTCTGCTATGACCTTGACCTTTAACGTAGAAACCTGGTTCAAGGTCACTGCACACCGGTTACCCAAAGGCACTCTGTGGGTGAAGTATGAGCCAGATTGGGCCAAGGAGAGAGAAGATATGCTTTGGACAAGGATTTTTCATATAATTTAGCTATGACCTTGACCTTTAACCTAGAAACCTGGTTCAAGGTCACTGCACACTGGTTACCCAAAGGCACTCTGTGGGTGAAGTATGAGCCAGATTGGGCCAAGGGAGAGAAGATATGCCCCGGACAAGAGATCTCGGACAGACGGACGGACAGACTAATTGATTACTATAGGGCGCCCGCCAAGTGGGGCCCTAATAATGGCTTTGCTGTTCTCAAGATGGTTTTGAAATTTTTTTTCCTATATATTCCTATGTAAAGCATATATTGTCCATTGTGGCCCTGCCCTACCCCCGAGGGTAATGATTTGAACATACTTGAATCTACACTACCTGAGGATGTATCCATATAAACACGACAAATCATGGCTTTGCTATTCTCCAGAAAATGATTTTTAAATATTTTTCCTCTATATTCCAATGTAAAACTATGATCGTCCATTGTGGCCCCGCCCTACCCCCTGGGGTCATGATTTGAACAAATTTGAATACACACTACCTAAGAATGTTTCCATATAAATATGACCAATAATGACTTTGCGGTTCTCAAGATGATTTTTGAAAATTTATCCTATATATTCCTATGTAAAGCTTATATTGTCCATTGCGGCCCTACCCCCGGGGTCATGATTTGAAAATACTTGAATCTAACTACCTGAGGATGTTTCCACATAAATACCCGGTATGACCAATCATGGCTTTGCTATTCTCAAGAAAAAGATATTTCCTCTACATTCCAGTGCTAGACTTTGATCGTCCATTTGTGGCCCCGCCCTACCCCCGGGGGTCATGATTTGAACATACTTGAATCTACACTACCTGAGGATGTTTCCATATAAATATGACAAATCATGGCTTCGCGG